GCACCACCCGAAAGGAGCTCCTGGCAGTGGTACGCTTCACCAGACAGTTCCGGCACTACTTGCTGGGAAGGAATTTTGTAGTCCGCACGGACCACAGTAGCCTCACCTGGCTGCTTCGCTTTAAGCAGCCCCAGGGGCAGCTAGCCAGGTGGCTCGAGGAGTTGAGCCAATACCACATGGAGGTGCGACATAGGGCGGGCTCCAAGCATATAAATGCGGATGCGTTGTCCAGAATGCCTGTTGACTCTCCATGTCAGGACTTTAAAACAGATGTGAACTTGGCAACCCTGCCCTGCGGGGGTTGTCCATACTGTGCAAGGGCCCAAGCACAGTGGTCTAAATTTATGACCGATGTGGATGACGTGGTCCCGTTGGCATCCAAAGGAACAGGTATGAGGGGCGGGTCTGTAAACGAAATACTGGTCGCTGGCCAAGATTCTGCAGAGGGTGTGTTTTTAGATGAAATACCCGTTGCTGGCCAAAATTCCGCCGACGGGGGCATTTGTATATCACGAGTGACAGTGGCCACTGTAGGTAGAGATGTGGTAATAGTCCCTGACAACCCAGACTGTTCAATCCGGGTTGTGCAGGAGGGCCTTGGGGTGGTTTTAGGGAAATACTCCGTTGAACAGATTTGCGACGCGCAGAGCAAGGACCCTGAATTTAAGTGGCTCACTGATTGGCTGGACGACAACAGTTGTCAGCCTGCTCAGGGGGACCTGTTTCGAAGTAGCCCACCTGCAAAATTTTATTGGACTATCAAGGAGCGGTTCAGCAGGGATGAACGGGAAATGATAATGTATCATGCAAAGAATGGAGAGGGAAATAGGTTACTGGTGCCCCGAGAATGGAGGAGGGACATTATGGAATTATGCCATGACATCCCATCAGCTGGGCACCAGGGCATGACTAAAACCCAAGAAAGAGTAAAACAATTTTACTACTGGCATGGGCTTAAAAAGGACTTGGAGGGCTATGTGGCAAGTTGTTCGGCATGCAACCAGAGCAAGAAACCGAATAAGACCGCAAGGTTGCCCTATGACAATGTTTCATGCTGGGGCTCCTATGGAGAGAGTGCACCTCGATTTTGTAGGGCCCCTACCAAAGTCAGACAGAGCAAATGAACATGATTGTAGATCAATTCAGTAAGTGGGTAGAATGTATCCCTCTTCCCTCTCAGACGGCTGAAGTTACGATTTTTTCTGTAGATTTGGGTATCCATATGAAATATTTACAGACCAGGGCCGTAATTTCGAGAGTTTACTCTTCCAATCAGTTTGTGAATTGCTCCACATCCACAAGGCCCGTACCACCCCATATCGCCCTTCTGCTAATGGCCAAGTGGAGAGGTTTAATCGCACCTTCCTGGCTTCGATCCGGTGTTTTGTGGGTAGCAATCAGAAGACTTGGGACTTGCACATTCCCCAATTAGCGGGGGCAATCAGGGCATCAGTGAATAGATCTACCGGGTTTACCCCCAATCGCCTCATGTTGGGCAGAGAGGTAAACCTCCCTGCTGAGTTAATGTTCAGGCCGCCAAAAACGGGGCAACCTCCAGACCTTGCAGGGTATGTGGGTGACTTGGAAGAGGCCATAAAGTCTGCCCATGAAATTGCGAGGGCAAACATCAAAACCTCCCAGCTCAGAGCTAAGCAAGCCTACGATCTTAGGTAGTTGCCCGTCAGTAACCCCTTCTCAAGCTGGTGTCCAAGGTCCTGTCGGGTTGGACCCTATGCTCCCCACCCTGCCATCTACTGAGGGCGGGAAAACGAATGTCTCAACAGGAAGTACTGGGGCACTGTACTGCACTTGCCGAGGACCTTATACAGGTGAGTTTATGATCTCCTGTGACAAGTGCAGTGAGTGGTACCATGGCAGGTGCGTGGGAATTTCCCCACAGGAAGCTGAAGAGTGGGAGAACCAGGACTATATATGCTCTGGTTGTAAGATCCAAAAAAGTAAACCAGACCCACCGCAAGCTAGTCTGAACCCTACTGGACTGCGGAGGTCAGCCCGTAGGAAGGGTTCAGAATAGAGTGCCATAAGGAGGTTGTTGTACATAAGGAGTTTTTAAGTCAGTGTATATAGTTTAAGAGACTGTACATATGAAGGCAACTAGTTACACTGTTCATGATTATCTAGTTAGATAACTGTTATATTTAATGACGAGGCCAGATGTCAGTATGTTTGGCCCTCAAAATGTTTTATTTTTGTATTTGCAGGGGGCATAAGAGATGTCCAGTGACGAGAGTGCTGGTGGCAGCCCGAAGAGGAGTTGGGCTGCCGAGGAGAAGAGGGAAGAGAAGAGAGAGGAGGTAAGCCCCGGGGGACGACACCGAGATAGGGTCCCCTCAGTTGAAAGGGATACCCCAAGCCTGAGAGATACCAAGGGCCAGGAGGGGGAAGCTGAGGTCCCGGGGGAAGCCATCTCTGGGGACCACAGGGACCCATCCCCAAAGGCTGGGGATCCGAGTTTGGAGTGGGGTTCCGGGGCAGTTAGCAGGAGCACCAGGGATGGGAGCCCTAATTCCAGGGAAAGGGCTCGGTCAGGTAGTAGGGAGGGAGCAGTTAGGGACCCCAGTGGAGGAAGGAGCGGATGTTCCGTTTCCAGGAGTACTCCAGGGGCCGCTGTCCCGATGGCCAGGGGCACCCCTGTGGGCATTCCAGCCGACCGGGATGCTCACAGCGCGCCTCCACTGGGTAGGGCCTTTCAAGTGAAAAAGGAAACAACCCAGGAAAGGAAGAGGAGGAGGAATAGGCAAAAAGAACGCCTTGCAGAGGAAAACGCTAGGAGACAAAGGGCCCTAAGAGACGCCCAAGAGAGGCGGACACCCCAGACCGGATCGAGGGGTAGAGCGGGGGTGTCCGCACAGAACACATTCCAACAGGGAGGAGGAAGGAGGGAGACTGGGGTGTCGTGGCAAAGGACACCCCAACGCAGCTACACAGCAAAGGGGACAGGGATGTCAGGACAGAGGACACCCCAGGACAACTTTACTCAGAGGGAGACTGGGGTGTCAGGCCAGAGAACACCCCAAGGAAACTTAACGGCAAGGGAGACTGGGGTGTCAAGCCAAAGGACACTCCAACACGACTATACGCTTAGGGAGACTGGGGTGTCAGGCCAGAGGGCACCCCAATACGACAACACACCGAGGGAGAGCGACCTCCCCACCCTGCAAAAGTGCCCCATCCAGGGTTGCCCCATAAGGGCGTTAGATATTCAGCCACATGTGATGCTGGAGCATGTTGCTGAAGTATTTGGGGAACCACCAGGGTCACCAAGGGCTTCTCTTGCGCCTATCAAGGTTGCTGCTTTACAGGCTCAGACATGGATGTTAGTGGGCGGGGATTTGGAGGATTTGGTGGCCCACATTAACCGACTGGCGATTACCCGGCCCCACATCATTGGGCAGGCTGTCCAGGGCCAAATGGAGGAAGTATGTCTTGAAGGGGGCGACCAGTTCCCCATTACTTCTCCACAGCACCAGTTAACTCCCCTGGAGCCCTCATTGATTGGAGGGTCCAGGCGGCCATAATGGGAGAGCTAGGAGATAGGGCATAGGCCTTCAGGGGGATGTTCAGGTTGCAGGGACCAAGGGCAGCCACAGGGTCCCCAGCAGACCAGCTAGGACAGGCGGAGGGGGAATAGATCCTCTGAGGTCTCCCTCCGACTCCCCTCCAGGGAAGAAAATTCTGGTGGAAACACAGTGTGCAGCTGGGGACCCCACACCACCTGCATTTGATTCCCACTTTCATTTGGACCGGGGGACCATAGGAGTTCACCCCAAAAAGGCCTATCAGCTGGACGACAATACATTCGGCAAGATGGAACAGCTGGTGGGGTTGCCTGGGGTGAGGGCAATAGGAGAAGTTGGGCTGGACCAAAGCCAGCGGGACCCACCTCTTCAGAGGCAAGTAAGCACATTAAGGTGGGTCCTGAACCTGTGCCAAGGAAGGCCAGAGGTTCCCCTCATTCTTCACGTTAGAGGGGCTCCTGAGGATCGCCATAGTGCGGAGGCTCACCTGAAAGTCCTTACCACAGTCCGGGAGCGGGTGGCCCCTCAGCAGAGGATCCACCTCCATTGTTTCGATGGGGGGATGCAATAGGCAAGGCGGTGGAGGGATGCGTTCCCAAATGTCTATTTTGGGTATACGGGGGAGGTCAATAGGTTTGACCAGGAACAAGGGCAAGCGGTGTCGTCCCTCCCTCTGGAAAGGATCATACTTGAGAGTGATGCCCCCTATTTCAGGCCGTCATGGGTGCCCAATAACAGCCATGGGCATCCCCAGTATATTGCTGAGGTGGCAATGGGGCTGTTGGCATTTAGGTCAAGGGCCACCCTTTGGGCATTGCTGGAGACCACCACCAGCAATGCACGGGCCCTGTATAGGGTCTAGATAGGGAGAAAAAAAAAAGAGGTGTAAATATGTGTACATAATTTTAAAAAAAAATCTGTCCAGAGAGGAAGGTTATTATTAAGTTTATTTTCATTATTATTTTCTTGTCAAAACAAATAACCCACTAACCCCACATAATCAAGGGGGCATCACAGAGGGGTTGAGGGGGCTGGGATCGTTGCTAGAAGGGGTAAGGGGCTGGCTGTACATACAAATAGGTTCTACTTAATTTAGTGGCCCCAAACAAATAGAAATAGTACTTTTGTTTAATCTGGGTCCCTCTCATCTGAGGGGACCCATCCGAAAAATTCACCCTAATTATTATCTCAATTTTGGACAATTTGGCAACCATGTTAAAGAAATTCTAAACGTACAACAAAAATATAAAGCCGGGGGGAGTGTGGTATTCGTTGGTACTAAGCCAGACCCTGCCGGAAGTTGCAGCGATCCCATGATGCCTTCGCTCTCTTTCCGGTAAACCTAATCAAGACGACAGTCACCAAATATTATACCAGAAAGCCATCTAAGCGATAAACGCCAAGAAGTTGCTCAGCGTCTTTGGTAAGTTCATATATTTACTCGGGATCACAACAAATCCCTCGATTATTGTCAAAACTGAAACACGTTGTTTTTCTACTTGGAAGTTTTATCCACCACTAGAGTAGGTTAACCTTTTATATTTGTGCTTATTTTTTATATCGTTGTGCATATTGTTTAATTATACATTTTATGCAACTTCATATTAGATTATTGGTGTTCATTTACACACGACATGAGTAAATATTGCCGCTGTGAATATACAGTACTGTTTGTATTTTTTATGTATGCATTTCCCCCTTAAATTCCATTCATTATTTGTCAATCCCACATGTTAGGATTTATTTTTGTGTTTTATTGATGTAGACAAGGGTCACGCTTGAATTTTCTAGAAATACAGTCCCGTACCGTCTCAACGTGTGTAAAATTTAAATCGTGCGTGGTATGAAAAGTACAGTCAATGACAAATGCAACCTTTCAATTTTCTTGCATATTTAGATACGTGTGTGCAATCTTTTTCTGATATATTTATGTTGTATTTCGAAATGTAGTGTACAAGAGTTACTTGTATTGAACTGTATAACCATTTTCTTTGTGAATGTACTACTATTTGACATTTATTGTATAGGTGTTGCCTTAAAAGTATGCTTATGAATGTTATTTTGTACTTTCAGTTTTTCACCCTCTCCGGGGGTCTGTATACCAATAAACTGTTGATCTCTCAACGACTTATCAGTACAGTGAAAAATCTACATTATAAAGATAAACCCAAGATAGATTCAACATGTCACAGTCAGAATCCGTTTCTGAAAGAGAGTTAAGAACTTCTAGAACACGTACATCTGATGGAGATCACCTTTTCCAACAGTCTAATGAACGACATCAATACATTATTAGAACTATTAAGAGAGATATCGACGCTTTTATACTAGACGTAGAAGATAATCCAGTGGTGGACCTCTCCACAGCGTCGACGTACAGAGATGAATTTTCAAAACTATCAGAAAAGTTTGAAAAAGTAGCTAACACATATTTTGATTTCTTAAAATCATATAGGACAAAAGAAAGTGAAATTGAGCATGCATCATTTAAAGTGTCATTCTATGCGTTAAAGGCCAAAATATCCGTCGTCAAACAACATCTTAGTGAATTGCTACCTAGTAAATCCAAACAAGATAGTGAACGAACTCTTAAAAGTCGTAGCTCCCATCATAGTTCCCGTCATACTGGGTCAACAAGAAACTCGTCACTTAGTGCTCAATCAGAGATTCTTAAACAAACTGTGAAACTGGAAACCGCAAAGACACGACTTAAATATGCCACAGAGGAGGCAGAACTGTTGCACCGTGAAGCTACACTCAAAGTAGAGAGAAACGTCCTCTCTATGAAGCGAGAAGTCGACGAAGCTGAGTCGGGATTGCAAGCCGTTAAGAAGGCTTTGAATTATGATCCTAATGCCTATGGTGAAAGTTATGAACCGCCAATAATTGCTAATCCGGTAGTTTAGCGTGCCGATGTAGACAGGATATCTGAAAGAAAGTACCGTAGTTCTGAAGTACCAGTTACACATTACATTACAGAACGACGTACAGCAGAATTTGTGGAGCAACAGCGCTCACAGCATGCTTCTCATTTGACCGAAAATGACATTCAAGCAAACAGTGTTGTAAACATTCCTGTTCATTCTTTAGGACCATTGAATCCGACAGCACGACCTTTTGTTCCGACCCAGAGGAACGAAGCACAAGAATTGGCCAAGTTTATGGTAAAGAAAGACTTGATTACATCTAGGCTCATATCATTTGATGACCAACCTTCACATTACTCATCTTGGAAAATTAGTTTTCAACACATAATGACCGAGTTAGATACAAATCCTTTGGAACAGTTGGACCTTCTAATAAAGTATTTGGGACCAAGCTCAAAACAGCATGCTCAGAACATTAGATGTGCTAATGCCCATAATCCGGCTACTGCAGTGCGGCTTATATGGGAACGCATAGATGCTAGATTCGGTAGTCCAGAGATGATCGAGTCGTCACTTCACTCACGTATAGTTAACTTCCCGAAACTTTCAAACAATAACCGAAAGGAGCTCTACGAGTTAGCGGACTAAGCTGCTGAGATCGAGTCTATTCGCAAAGATGAAAAGTTTGCCACCACATTCGCTTACTTTGATTCATCTCTAGGTGTGAATCGTTTTGTAACCAGATTACCTTACAGTATTCAAGAAAAATGGACTACTACTGCCAATGGTTATAAGTCAAAAAACCATGGAGCATATCCGCCATTCTCCTTCTTTGTGCCGTTCTTGCAAAACATTGCTAAAGTGCGTAATGACCCTGGATTTTTATATGACAATCAAGACATCAAACCGACCACATCTAAACAAACGAGAGTACAAAATCGTTTTCGAAGTCCTGCGCAAGTCCTGCGCAAGTTTCAAGCATTAAAACCGACATTGGACACAGTGTTAATAGACCACCTATTAAGAAGCAAAATGAGGACTTGTGTCCCCTCCATGGAACTAATCATACACTTAACACGTGCCGTGGTTTCCGTTCTAAACCATTGTCAGAGAGACTTGATTTAATTAAGCAGAAAGGTTTGTGTTTCAAGTGTTGCGGACCTAAGAGACATTTCCGTGACAAATGTAAAGAGGATGCATGAAATAATCGAATGTAATGACATTCCAAACAATCGGGAGGAAATACCCTCATCTGTTGTAGCTTCAAGTTATCCGCACATGATGGACATAGCAAGTTGTATTCCTGACATTGACAACCAGTCTGAAATACAGATGTTAATAGGCCGTGACCTTATTAGAGCACACCATGTTATTGAACACCGTGTAGGAGCTGACGAAGTACCGTATGCACAGCGTTTACCTTTAGGATAGGTTATTGTAGGCAATGTATGTCTTGGTAGATTTCATGGACAAAAAGTAGTTAATGTAAACAAAACTGTAATCTTAGGCAACGGACGACGTACTTTATTGTCTCCGTGTGATAGCGAGATGTCAGTTAAATTAGACCCAATCTTCGACAAGAATAAACTAGACGAAAAGGAAGGTGTGTCAATAGAGGATCAAACCTTTTTGAATATAATGTCATCGGGATTCCCCAAACAAGATGATGGACACTGGATCGCTCCACTACCATTTAAACCCAACAAACCTTCTTTAGAAAACAACAAACAAATTGCAGAGCGTAGAGCTAAATCGTTTGATATGAATTTACGTTGCAACTCCGTAAAGCGCACACAAGTGTTAGATTTTATGCAGAAACTCTTTGATCGAGAACATGCCCAGATAGCACCCAAACTATCGCCAGGTACTGAGTGCTGGTACTTGCCTATGTTCGCAGTGTATCATCCGAGGAAACCAGAGAGTGTAAGAGTAGTTTTCGACTCTTCTGCAAAACATCATGGACTATCTTTGAACGACGTCTTGTTGAAAGGTCCAGACATTTATAACAGCCTTCTTGGAATATTACTCCGTTTTAGGAAAGAGGCTTACGCCTGCAGCTACATTAAGGACGCAATTTTGTAAAAATGATGAAAAAGGGGGGTAGAAAGAGAATTGTCCATTCTGACTTTACTGTGAACATTCCATGGTCGTACATGGGCAATAATGAAAGGTCGTCCAATTTCTCATCATTTAACATAAAAATATGACCCCGTGACCCTAGCTCTGTCACGTGACGTGCCGTTTTCGTGAGTTAAAACTGTCGTTTGTATTTGGCTCGAGCACAACCTTTTACGCTTCACCATTCTCTGTCAAATTTTAACAGTAAGTTAACCAACTACCAAGGTTACTTAAAAGTGCTGGGGGTTAGAATAGTTTTTTTAAATTGTTTATTTGGAATGAATTTTACATCTCTGATGGTGAAATTCCGTGATTTTGTCAACTTTGCTTACTTCGTACGACTCTCAGAGATAAAATTGGAGAAACCCCCCAGCAAGTTTTAAGCTCGTATTTAAATGCAAAAAATAATTTTATTCAGTTGATGGCTCTTGTTTTAGATTAAAAGGTTGTGCTAGGCCAAAATATAGAAAATTTTACGAAAATCCTGTTGTCAGCGATGTTTTAAATCGCAACAAAGATCGCGATTTAGAACCGGTACCGGGGAAAGCGCGGATTGTTTCCGCTCGTTACGAGAGATACAATAATTCTTGTTTTTAACATAAAAGCCGGTATTTTAACATTTATAAGATTTTTTTCAACTTTGTGTGAGTGAATATCAGTACTTCCAGATATATACGATGTGTCCTTTTGTATTTGCGTGGACCTTTACTACAAGTGTCAGGGTTCTGAACAGTCCAGTAGAGCTACCTTTTTTGTAGTTGGACGAAGTTACAGTATTTAAATCGATTCATGTCAATTATCTTATATGTGCATGACACTTAAATAACGGAAAGTAAAACTATAGAATATATTTATTATTACAGAACTTTAACACTCTCAGTCTATATGCCATGATGTTAAATACTAGTGTGATCAAGTGTGTCAATATGTAACTTTTCATTGCAAAAGGACTTATAATCTTTAAACTTCACTCAAAAATTATGTTTACAAGTGTTAAGTGATAGGTCCTAAAAATGGCTAACTGAGTTTCAAGTCTAAGGAGAACATGTAAATAATCACTAAATTGAACCTAGAAAATAAACTTAAATGGGACCAGTTCTCAGCCTGTGATAATACATCTCCAAACAATGAAAATTAAAAAGTAAGTAAGTAAGTAAATTTTATTTAGAGTCAGGCATGATATGTACAATTCAACAAGGTAAACATGAGCTCTGTAGAGCTTTTAACCGACTTGATATTTAAAAACTAATAACAAATTATAAGCACAAAAATATCCCAATGTTTTTCAATGTGTAAAATGCAGCAGTGCCAGTTTAGCAATTACAAAATCACCAAAATTTCAGCAGTGATTTTCCTTCACCAAATATTTGCAATCCCATTTTGACCAGTAATCAGTGATATGCAAGAATATTAAAAGAAACATTAATTTCTGAATTTTCAGTAATTCTATTTGTCAAATTGTTACAGCAAAAAATCAATATCTTAATTTTACAGAATGATTTTAGCCCATATCAAATTTGTATGTTTGCATAAAATTATTCTCGTCTGAAGTTCTGATCGCATTCCAAGAAATCAACAATTTATTTATAAAATAATATATAACTTCAAATTTATAACAAAGCATGAATTAAACCCTCTTCTAAATCATTGTTTATCTTTAATATCAAATAATCATCATGCTGGATACTGCTGTATTCTCAGCTTAGTATCATTGTGAGTAAAACCTAGTGAATAGGATAATGCACTACTATATACTTTGAAAAGTGTTTCAGGAAGTCTTTATCATGTTTATGTACATGATGTTTTTCATTTTATTTTCTTAATTGAGTTCTGTTTTTACATGTTAATTGAAACATAAATGTTTGGTATAGGTGATCAATGATATATTTTTCTTAGTTTTGAAATAAAAGATTACCTGTTCTTCTGCAAAAAATGTTGCATTTTTTCAATAAATTCAAGCAAGCATGGTCCTATAATTTTGTGTTTCAGCAATAAGTTAAGATATGAGCTAACAAGTATCTCAATAATAAAATAACTTTATAATTTACATGTAAAAAATTATCATACAAATGAATAATTCCACCTGCTATTTTTTATTTTATTCTGCATACTATCTTTTGAGCATTTTCCACTATTCAA